ACTCGCTGACTTGGTTGACCCATGCCATCGTATCCCAATGCGTCGATCGATGCTCATGCTGTTGATCACTGGATTGTCTGATTCAGACTCGATTATTTACAAACCGACTGGAATATTGCTGAGTAAGGCGTTAAACTAAACTCACTCACTCACTCACTCTGTTCAGCAACCAGCATGTTCCTATGTCTGTCTCTCTGTCCAGCAGGTCGTCTGTCCTTTGGTCTGTCTGTCTGTACCCTAGTCTCTGTCGTTATGCCTATCTTTCTGTCCATCAGGTTGTATGTCTGTCTGTCTGTATCGCAGACTGCATCGTCTGTCCGTATGTCTGTCTGTCTACTCAGCATGCTATCAGTGGACAGTAGTTCCAATATTCCGTCCCCCGTCTACGCCAACTTGCCACGCACCGGGCCGTGTAATGGATGCGTAGTGGTCGGTGTTATGTTGCTGTTTACTCCGGATAATTACCCCGTGATGCAAGCATCTCCCATCGCCTCATGGCATATCGATATCACATATCCATTACAAACACCTAGCACACCAGGTATCATTAGCTAATTAGTCACGCAGCAAACCAGGTGTTCCACTTTCTGAGTAGCAGGTCACGTCCTCTTCGTCCGATCGACTTTTCTCCAGTTACACGGACTTACATAATACATGCCTTCACACCCAATCCAGGGAGCTGAACGCAGTGCTCAACCTTGGCAACAATCCATGTCCTGGGCCAGTTATGTTTAGCGTGATATGTGAGATATGTGTTAAGCATGATGGCAGATGTTTGGTCCTAGTTATGTATGCTAAATGATACATTGTTTACGGTGTTAAAGAGGGCGATTGGGGTGGTGTGGGTTAGACTAGAGGCAATGTGTGTAAAATTTGAAAGAGTGGTGGTGTTCAGTTTTTACATGGGGTCAGGTAGAGGGGAGGGCGAGGGTGAGGAGGTGCGTTAAGTATACCAACAGCATGTTTGCTAGCCTTCCTCGTAGGCTGTATTGAATGCTAAGCCAATGGATGTATAATAATTATATCCTTTAAAGAGGTATATCTAGATAAGCGGACAGGACAAGATCGCCAGCCTAATATTTATATTTTTTAGAAAATATCATTTAAACTGTTACTCATTACGTTAGAGACTTATGCAAGTCTACCCGTTTGTCTATGGGTTAGATTAGGAAAGGGGTAGATAACATTGAGGGTGATGGGGATAAATCAGGGTTGGCGTGGGTTAGAGGGAGGATGGGGTGTTGTTAGGGGTGGGATTGTGTGGTGGTAGGGTAAGTTTGAGGGTCGTGTTGGTCCGACTAGGGTGGGGGTTAGACTGAGGGTGGTTTGGGTTATATTGAGGGAAGGGGTAGAGGGTGGGGGAGATGGAAGGTGTTACTGGTAACGGAGCTTATATTAGGATGTTAACGTGGTTCAGCGTACAGCTACACATGCAGACCCCCTGAACGGCTGCCAGAGTGCGTCAATCCGACAACTGTTTTCTCCACAAGCGTTCTTGAAAATAGGTTAATCTCTTTTAAAGGATTTTGTTTTGCAACAAACATGGCATGAATAGTATGGCGCATCTACACGAATGTCCCATTGAAGACTTACACTGGCACTCAACCATGTCATATTCCGGGGACGAAAAACGTTTTGGAGCAGTAATACAACATCACGTTAATTAACGCAGTTATACTATGTTCGTGTAATGAGCCCGTGTCGTAGTGGGTGGCGATCGTGTATGCTAGTGTATGTCGGCGTGTAGGTGTCGGCGTTAGCAGCAACTAACGACTTCATCAAGATTGACTGGACCAGACGGCCACTGTCCAGCTGAACTAACTTCGGGTATCCCCCACCATCAAGCAGCCGGACTTGGTCTGAATATCGCCACACACGACGTAACGTAATCAACAGGAACGGGAACTGCCGAACTTGGCATGTGTTGGGTAAAAGGTAAAACATATGTATAAACAGAGGTATTTCAGATGTCCCAGTAACACCGTCACCCCAACACACTCACATATGCACGTCTCACAGTCCCTGTACCACATTATTTTCCTGAATGCCTATCCCATTCTGCAATGCTAAAGTCCTAAATGAAGCAAGTCTAGATTTCCCTAGGCTCAACTCCCAACTCACTGGGGCTCCTTTTCAATTTAAATGGTTTTTGGTGTTGCTATCAAAATTTTATATGTATTCACGGACTAAGCGTTAGTCTAGTCCCGCCCTCACACATCCTACAATCCGTAGATAGGAACAGATGTATCTTGTTGGAACAGCAGGTAGATGTCACAGCTTTCAACGCGTCCGCTGTAACTGTAGAACAGTAAAAAGCTGCTCGTGTGTCGGCCTTTTGGTGTGAATCCTCCCTCTGGCTTGTGTGTGGTGTGTGGGTGTAGGCGCGTGTTTTATGTGTGTTGTTGTTTGTGAGTGTGTGTTTTTATGTGTGCGTGTATATGTGTATATAGTATACGTGTATGTGTATTTGTGTGCGTGCTTGTATGTGTGTGTTCTGGCTTGTGTGTATCTATGTCTGTGTATGTGTGTTTGTGTGTGTTCGGGCTTGTGTGTATCTATGTCTGTATATGTGTGTTTGTGTGTGTTCGGGCTTGTGTGTATCTATGTCTGTGTATGTGTGTTTGTGTGTGATTACTTTTGTATGTTTGTAGTGTATGTACGTCTCTTTTAGGTTTGTTTGTATGATTATTTTAGGGAGGAGTGAGGGAGTTCATTGCCCACTTCCCGCTCTCATAGTTTGTGTATTTATCTTAAAACTTACCCATCTATTCACTGACAAAGAGTAATTCCATGTATTTATATCTATATATTATTCATTCAAGCATAATCTATATTTCTTTGACTGCGCCCGCCCTCAAATCAATACAATACAAATATACGTAAAACATATAATTATTTTCCATGGGTTTAAGATATTTTACATGATATGTTTATTGTATCATCAATAATTCATATTTTGTTCATGCCTCTGTTTTGCAATTTACAATACTGACAATTGTCTGTAGGTATTGCTTTGTTCTGCCGACACTGTGTAATATGTTTAACCGGTACTTTGCCATCACATTGCCATTGACCTGCAACGACCAGTACAGAAGCCATTCGTGGTTTTGACGACACTCTCGTTTACCGGTCTCCTGCTCCAGTAGTTCGTCGTCCAGCTGTTTACAACCACCATTATCACTAAATCCACCCTCCACCTCCCTTCGTGGCTTTCGATCCTCTCTCAATCTCCTGCCATCTGTGACCCACCCACTCTTGCAACTGGTTTCGCCGTCTGTATGCGCAGCCACGACAAGAACAGGTCCAGCCCTGATGTCTCCAAACCTTGAATCTGACCGCGGTCATTAATTAGGCTAATTAATGAACGTGTTCTCACTACTGACTTAATTCTGTCCTTTGAGGCTTCCTTGTCTGGCTTGGCATCAGTCGATCAAATTTAGGACGCATCCACCTTAACCATGGCCAACCTCACTGATCCAGATACTACGACGTAATTACACCCTTAATTGTACCCCCACGTGTCACCCACAGCATACGATATCACCTTAACACCTGACCACCACACTAATAATCGCCTTCGACCTCCGTCCAAACAATCACACTTTCTATGGTTCTGCTTCTGTCAGGCCTCAGCCTTCTATTGATTCACTCTGTCAAACTTTAGCTATCGGTGTCTTTCGCTCAAACGTTTCTGAATATCAAGTTTTCAAAGTCCTTCAAGGTTTTTCATTCTATGAGAAATTCCCATGTCTAGAACAGTGATTGGTCCTCACATCTCATCTTCATTCGCTGAAGTCTAATGATCGAAGCTCTCCCCAAATGCCGTGTCCCCTTCTAGCTTATCAATAACGGACCTATTCTTTACTGTCTTACACCACCGCAGCCGCCACCACATCAACGGCACCAGCATCCGCACCACCACCACGCCACCGGCATCAGCATCAGCACTACCACCACATCAACGGCATCAGCATCAGCACCACACCACCGGCATCAGCATCAGCACCACCACCACATCAACGGCATCAGCATCACCATTGCCACACCACCGGCCTCAGCATCAGCACCACCACCACGCGACCGGCATCAGCATCAGCACCGCCATCACCACACCATCGGCATCAGCATCAGCACCGCCATCACCACACCACACCATCGGCATCAGCATCAGCATCAGCACCACATCAACGACATCAGCATCAGCACTACCACCGCCACCGGCATCAGCATCAGCACTACCACCACGCCACCGGCATCAGCATCAGCACCGCCTTCACCACACCACACCATCGGCAACAGCATCAGCATCAGCATCATCACCACATCAACGGCATCAGCATCACCATTGCCACACCACCGGCCTCAGCATCAGCACCACCACCGCCACCGGCATCAGCATCAGCACCGCCATCACCACACCATCGGCATCAGCATCAGCACCACCATCACCACACCACACCATCGGCATCAGCATCAGCATCAGCACCATCACCACATCAACGGCATCAGCATCAGCACCACCATCGCCACACCATCGGCCTCAGCTTCAGCACCACCACCACGCGACCGGCATCAGCATCAGCACTACCACCACGCCACCGGCATCAGCATCAGCACTACCACCACGCCACCGGCATCAGCATCAGCACCGCCTTCACCACACCACACCATCGGCAACAGCATCAGCACCACCACCACATCAACGGCATCAGCATCAGCACCACCACCACGCCACCGGCATCAGCATCAGCACTACCACCACGCCACCGGCATCAGCATCAGCACCGCCTTCACCACACCATCGGCATCAGCATCAGCATCAGCGCCACCACCACATCAACGGCATCAGCATCACGCCACCGCCACACACCATCAGCCTCAGCATTCAGCACCCACACCGCCGCGACCGGTATCAGGATCAACACCGCCATCAGCATCAGCACACCACACCCTCGGCATCAGCATCAGCATCAACACCACCACCACATCAACGGCATCAGCATCAGCACCACCATCGCCAACGGCACCGGCATCAGCATCGCTCCACCACGCCACACCACCGGCATCAGGCCACCATCGCCACCGGCATCAGCATCGGCACCGCCTTCACCACGCCACACCATCGGCATCAGCACCGGCATCAGCATCAGCATCACCACCATCACGGCATCAGCATCACCACTGACCACCAGCCTCAGCACAACTATCGCCACACCACCGGTCTCCAGGATCGCACCACCACCGCCGCCACACCACCGACCTCAGCATCGGCATCCACCAACACCACCACCACATCAACGGCATCAGCATCAGCACCACCATCGCCACACCACCGGCATCAGCATCAGCACCACTATCGCCACACCATCGGCATCAGCATCAGCACCACTATCGCCACACCACACCACCGGCATCAGCACCCCCATTGCCACACCACACCAACGGCATCAGCACCACCATCACCACACCACACCAACGGCATCAGCACCACCATCACCACACGACACCAACGGCATCAGCACCACCATCACCACACCACACCACACCACACCATCAGCATCAGCACCACCATCACCACACCACACCACACCATCGGCATCAGCACCAGCACCATCACCAGCACGCCGTTCAGCGAGCCCCAGACTGCGGATCCATACATGTACACTCTTAATCATGCAAATAAGTAGTTCCAGAAAAACTCGAATCCAATAGTAGCAATCACCCCTTGCCTGCCACCAGCGTCCCACCCCACCTGCCCCTCACTCCTCTCCCCGCAGACAGAAGTCTGAAGAGGCATCCGCACCACCATCGCCACACCATCGGCATCAGCACCACCATCGCCACACTACCGGCATCAGCACCACCAGCACCACCACCACACCACCGGCATCAGCATCAGCACCACCATCGCCATACCACCGACCGCAACATCAGCACCACCATCGCCACACCACCGGCATCAGCATCAGCACCACCATCGCCACACCATCGGCATCAGCACCGCCATCGCCACACTACCGGCCTCAGCATCGCACCACCATCGCCACACCATCGGCATCAGCACCACCATTGCCACACCATCGGCATCAGCACCACCACCACCACACTACCGGCATCAGCATCAGCACCACCACCACCACCACACCACCGGCATCAGCATCAGCACCACCATCGCCATACCACCGACCGCAACATCAGCACCACCATCGCCACACCACCGGCATCAGCATCAGCACCACCATCGCCATACCACCGAACGCAACATCAGCACAACCATCGCCACACCATCGGCATCAGCACCACCATCGCAACACCATCGGCATCAGCACCACCACCACCACGCCACCGGCATCAGCATCAGCACCACCATCGCCATACCACCGACCGCAACATCAGCACCACCATCGCCACATCAACGGCATCAGCATCAGCACCACCATCGCCATACCACCGACCGCAACATCAGCACCACCATCGCCACACCAGCGACCTCAGCATCAGCACCGCCATCGCCATACCACTGACCGCAACATCAGCACCACCATCGCCACACCATCGGCATCAGCACCACCATCGCCACACCACCGACATCAGCATCGCTCCACCATCGCCATACCACCGACATCAGCATCGCTCCACCATCGCCAAACCACCGGCCTCAGCATCAGCACCACCATCGCCATACCACCTACCGCAACATCAGCACCACCATCGGCACACCATCGGCATCAGCATCACCACCATCGCCACACAACCGGCATCAGCACGACCATCGCCACACCACCGGCATCAGCATCGCTCCACCATCGCCACACCACCGGCATCAGCACCACCATCGCCACACCATCGGCATCACAACCACCATCGTCACACCACCGGCATCAGCATCAGCACCACCATCACCATACCACCGACCGCAACATCAGCACAACCATCGCCACACTACCGGTCTCAGGATCGCACCACCATCGCCACACCACCGACCTCAGCATCGCTCCACCATCGCCACACCACCGACCTCATCATCAGCTCCACCATCGCCACACCACCGGCATCAGCATCACCACCACCATCGCCACACCACCGGCATCAGCATCACCACCACCATCGCCACACCACCGGCATCAGCACAACCATCGCCACACCACCGGCATCTGCATCGCTCCACCATCGCTACACCATCGGCATCAGTAGAACCATCGCCACACCACCGGCATAAGCCCACCATCGCCACACCACCGGTCTCAACATCAGTACAACCATCGCCACACCACCGGCATCAGCACCACCATCGCCACACCACCGGTCTCAACATCAGCACCACCATCACCCATCATCACACCACCGGCATCAGCACAACCATCGCCACACCACCGGTCTCAACATCAGCACAACCATCGCTATACACCACCGGCCACAACCATCAGAATCAGCACCACCATCGCCACACCACCGGCATCAGCACAACCATCGCCACACCACCGGCCTCCCAGCATCAGCACCACCATCGCCACACCATCGGCATCCAGCACAATAAACCATCGCCACACCACCGGTCTCAACATCAGCACAACCATCGCCACCACCGGTCCTCAGCATCAGCACAACCATCGCCACACCACCGGCATAAGCACAACCATCGTCACACCACCGGTCCCAACATCAGCACCACCATCGCCACACCACCGGCATCAGCACAACCATCGCCACACCACCGGCATCATCAGCACAACCATCGCCACACCACCGGCATCAGCATCAGCACTACCATCGCCACTACCACCGGCGTCAATATCAGCACGCAACCATCGCCACACCATCGGCATCAGCATCAGCATCACCACCATCAGCCACATCAACAGCATCAGCATCAGCACCGCCACCGCCACCGGCATCAGCATCAGCACTACCACTACACCACACACGGCACCGGCATCAGCATCAGCACCACCAGCAACCAACAGCATCAGCACCATCGGCGAAGCACTGGCATCAGCATCAGCACCATCCGCCACATCATCACGGCATCAGCATCACCACCATCGCCACACCACCGGCCTCAGCATCAGCACACCACCACCGCCACACGGCATCAGCATCAGCACCGCCATCACCACACCATCGGCATCAGCATCAGCACCGCCATCACCACACCACACCATCGGCATCGGCATCAGCATCAGCACCATCCACCACATCAACGGCGTCAGCATCAGCGCCACCATCGCCACACCATCGGCCTCAGCTTCAGCACCACCACCCGCGCGACCGGCATCAGCATCAGCGCTACCACCACGCCACCGGCATCAGCATCAGCACTACCTGCCCACGCCACCGGCATCGGCATCAGCACTGCGCCTTCACCACACGCCACGCATCGGCTTGGCGCCAGCATCCACCACCATCAGCAACGGCGTCAGCATCAGCACCACCACCACGCCACCGGCATCAGTACCATCCACGCACTACCACCGCGCCACCGGCATCAGCATCAGCACCGCCTTCACCACCACGCCACCACCATCGGCGTCAGCGTCAGCATCAGCATCAGCATCAGTATACCACATCAACGGCATCAGCATCACCGCTGCTACACCCACCAGCCTCAGCATCGAGCACTACCGCAGCACGCCACCGGTTATCCGGGATCAACACCGCCGGCACCACAGCGCACCACACCCTCGGCATCAGCGTCTGCATCAACACCACCACCACATCAACGGCATCAGCATCAGCGCCACCATCGCTTTGCACCACCGGCGTCGGCATCAGCATCACCACTATCAACACTGCATCGGCGTCGGCATCAGTAGCCACTATCGCATCGCACCACACCACCGGCGTCAGCACCCCCATTTGCCACACGCCAATGGTACACCAGCGCCACCATCCGCTACTACCACCATACCAACGGCGATCGTCAATACCATCACCGCCGACACCAACGGCATCAGCAATTCACCGCCCACCATGCCGGACCACTACACCACACTACACCCATCAGCATCAGCACCGCCAATACCATGCACCACACCACTTTCACCACCATCGGCATCGGCGCCAGCGCCGGCGCCCAGCTACGCCATTCCAGGCGAGCTCTGGGGCTGGGATCCATACATGTACACTCTTAATGCATTAAATCGGTGGTTCCAGAAATATCCTGAATGGTAATGTAGCACCACCATGCCTGCCACCAGCGTCCCGCACTGCACCGCCACGGACTTCACCCTGGAGAGTCACTCTGAAGAGGCATCCGCACCACCAGGCGCCACCACCATCGGTACCGCCCCTTCATCCTACATCTTTCCTGGCCTCAGCCCCACCACCATCCACTAATCCACTACATCCATCCAGCGACCATTTCCATTTCCTATACCACCGACCACCAACATCCAGCACCACCATCATCCAGCACCACCGGCATCAGCATCCGCACCACCATCCGCACCATCATCGGCATCAGCACCGCCATCGCCACACTTCGCCGGCCTCCTCAGTACCGCGCCACCATCCATCGCCACACCATCCGGCATCAGCATTGCTACATCCACCATTTCAGCATCCCACCACCACTCACATTTATCCAGCATCAGCACCACCACCACACACCACCGGCATCAGCATCAGCAACCACCATCGCCATACACCACCACCGCAACATCAGCACCACCATCGCCACACCACGGCGGCATCAGCATCAGCACCACCATCGCCACACCACCGGACGCAACATCAGCACAACCATCGCCACACCATCGGCATCAGCACCACCACCACCGCAACACCATCGGCATCAGCACCACCACCACCACGCCACCGGCATCAGCATCAGCACCACCATCGCCATACCACCCCGACCGCGGCATCGGCACCACCATCGCCACATCACCGGCATCCAGCATCGGCACCACCATCGCCAGCACCGGCCGCGGCATCGCCACCATCACCGCCACAACCGTCGGCATCAGCATCAGCACCACGCACCATCGGCATCAGCATCACGCACCACCACGCCACCGGCATCGGCATCAGCACCACCATCGCCATACCACCGGCATCCAGCATCAGCACCAGCCATCGCCACATCCACGGCATCAGCATCAGCACCACCATCGCCATACCACCGGACCGCAACATCAGCACCACCATCGCCAACATCAGCGACATCACGGCATCGCACCGCCACCGCCATCCGCTGACCGCAACATCAGCACCATCGCCGCACCATCGGCATCAGCACCACTATCGCCACACCACCGACATGCAACATCGGCTCCACCATCGCCATACCACCGACATCAGCATCAGCTCCACCATCGCCAACACCACCGGCCTCAGCATCAGCACCACCATCGCCATACCACCTACCGCACGCATCAGCGCCACCATCGGCACACCATCGGCATCAGCATCACCACCATCGCCGCACAACCGGCATCAGCACGACCATCGCCACACCACCGGCATCAGCATCGCTCCACCATCGCCACACCACCGGCATCAGCACCACCATCGCCACACCATCGGCATCACCAAGCCACCATCGTCCGCACCACCGGCATCAGCATCAGCACCACCATCACCATACCACCGACCGCAACATCAGCACACACCATCGCCGCACTACCGGTCTCAGGATCAGCACCACCATCGCCACACCACCGACCTCAGCATCGGCTCCACCATCGCCACACCACCGACCTCATCATCATCAGCTCCACCATCGCCACACCACCGGCATCAGCATCACCACCACCATCGCCACACCACCGGCATCAGCATCACCACCACCATCGCCACCACCGGCATCAGCATCAGCTCCACCATCGCCACACCACCGGCATCAGCATCACCACCAACCATCGCCACACCACCGGCATCAGCATTGCACCACCATCGCCACACCACCGGCATCACGGCACCACCACCACCACGCCACCGGCATCGGCATCAGCACCACCATCGCCACGCACCACCGCACCATCAGCACAACCATCAGCACCACCATCGCCACATCACCATCAACATCAGCACCACCATCGCCATAATACCACCGACCGGCATCAACACCAGCACCACGCCACCACCGGCATCAACATCACACCACCAGCACCACCATCGCCACACCACCGGCACGCATCGGCATCAGCACCACCATCGCCATGCCATCGGTATCAGTACCACCACCGGTCACCGGCATCAGCATCAGCACCACCATCGCCATACCACCACCAGCATCCACCACCACATCAGCACCGGCATCAGCATCCAGCACCACCATCCACCACCGACCGCAACATCAGCACCACCATCGCCACCACCATCGGCAGCATCATCGCCACCATCGCCACCACCATCGGCATCAGCACCACCATCGCCACACCACCGGCATCAGCATCGCTCCACCATCGCCATACCACCGACATCAGTATCGCTCCACCATCGCCAAACCACCGGCATCAGCATCAGCACCACCATCGCCACACCACCGGCATCAACATCAGCACCACCATCGCCACACCATCGGCATCAGCACCACCATCGCCACACCACCGGCATCAGCACGACCATCGCCACACCACCGGCATCATCAGCAGCACCACCATCGCCACACCACCGGCATCACGCACCACCATCGCCACACCACCGGCATCACAACCACCATCGTCACCACCGCCCGGCATCAGCATCAGCACCACCATCACCATACCACCGACCGCAACATCAGCACAACCATCGCCACACTACCGGTCTCAGGATCGCACCACCATCGCCACACCACCGACCTCAGCATCGCTCCACCATCGCCACACCACCGACCTCAGCATCAGCTCCACCATCGCCACACCACCGGCATCAGCATCAGCACCACCATCGCCACACCACCGGCATCAGCATCACCACCACCATCGCCACACCACCGGCATCAGCATCGCACCACCATCGCCACACCACCGGCATCAGCAGAACCATCGCCACACCACCGGCATAAGCACAACCATCGCCACACCACCGGTCTCAACATCAGCACAACCATCGCACACCACCATCAGCACCACCACCACCACCGGTCTCAACATCAGCACAACCATCGCTACACCACCGGCATCAACATCAACCACACCACCATCGGCATCAGCACACCATCGGCACCACCGGCATCAGCACAACCATCGCCACACCACCGGCCTCAACATCAGCAGAAACCATCGCCACACCACCGGCCTCAACATCAGCACAACCATCGCCACACCACCGGTCTCAACATCAGCACAACCATCGCCACCACCCACCGGCATCAGCACCACCATCGTCACACCACCAGCATCAGCATCGCATTCACCACCACCAACCAACGGCATCAGCACCACCACCCATCACCGCACCATCGCCCACCACCAGGCAACAGCATCAGCACCATCGCCACACCACCGGCATCAGCATCAACACTACCACCACGCCACACCACATCTCAACATCAGCACCACCACCGCTAACCAACGGCATCAGCACCATCAGCACACACCATCTGCATCAGCATCAGCACCACCATCGACATCAAGCACGCATCAGCATCGCACCACCACACCACTCAGCATCAGCACAACCATCGCCACACCACTGGCATCAGCATCAGCTCCACCATCGCCACACCACCGGCATCAGTAGAACCATCGCCACACCACCGGCATAAGCACAACCATCGCCACACCACCGGTCTCAACATCAGCACAACCATCGCCACACCACCGGCATCAGCACAACCATCGCCACACCACCGGTCTCAACATCAGCACAACCATCGCCACACCACCGGCATCAGCACAACCATCGCCACACCACCGGCATCAGCACAACCATCGCCACACCACCGGCATCAGCACAACCATCGCCACACCACCGGCATCAGCAACAACCATCGCCACACCACCGGCATTTAGCACAACCATCGCCACACCACCGGTCTCAACATCAGCACAACCATCGCCACACCACCGGCCTCAACATCAGCACAACCATCGCCACACCACCGGTCTCAACATCAGCACAACCATCGCCACACCACCGGCATCAGCACAACCATCGCCACACCACCGGCATCAGCACAACCATCGCCACACCACCGGCATCAGCACAACCATCGCCACACCACCGGCCTCAACATCAGCACAACCATCGCCACACCACCGGCCTCAACATCAGCACAACCATCGCCACACCACCGGCATCAGCACAACCATCGCCACACCACCGGCATCAGCATCAGCACTACCACCAGCTAACCAACAGCATCAGCACCACCACCCCATCACCGGCATCAGCATCAGCACCACCACCAGCTAACCAACAGCATCAGCACCATCGCCACACCAACTGCATCAGCATCAGCACTACCACCACATCACCGGCATCAGCATCAGCACCACCACCAGCTAACCAACAGCATCAGCACCATCGCCACACCAACTGCATCAGCATCAGCACCACCACCACATCAACGGCATCAGCATCGCACCACCATCGCCACACCACCGGCCTCAGCATCAGCACCACCATCGCCACACCATCGGCATCAGCATCAGCACAACCATCGCCACACCACACCACCGGCATCAGCACCCCCATCACCACACCACACCACACCATCGGCATCAGCACCACCATCACCAGCACGCCGTTCAGCGAGCCCCAGACTGCGGATCCATACATGTACACTCTTAATCATGCAAATAAGTAGTTCCAGAAAAACTCGAATCCAATAGTAGCAATCACCCCTTGCTTGCCACCAGCGTCCAACCCCATCTCCCGCTCGCTCCCCTTCCCGCAGACAGAAGTCTGAAGAGGCTGCTAATCTAATAGGTGCTGTGAAAGAGCATGCAGATGTGTCTCTTCCATCCCAGCGTGTGGGCAGCGAGGTGTGTAGGCAGACAGGGCCCAACGAACAAAGACGTGTTAACCCCACCGACACTTAATCTGTCTCGCAGACCCTATAGAATAAATTCTAAACTCAATCCAATTCAGATCTGGAATCATTTAGCAAGTCTAGATTGCCTCCGCTCTGGAATATAACACTGTCCTTGGCTCCATTTACATTCATATATTTTGAAGACATATTTTCAAGTAGAATTACTTTATTTCATTTTTCGGAATGAATGTTTATGGGCTAATGG